TTAACCCTATTCTCTGTTGCCAAAGCTTGATTCTCAAGGTTTAAATCTTTTTACCTTGTTTCTTCGTTAAGTATATTGTTCTTTACCATCTCTAATGTCACTTTATAATCAAGAACTGAATTGAAAATAGTCATAACTAGAGTATTTCAACTATCTGGTAATGAACTCAAAAAAAAATAATGCATTCATTTTATCATCCATCTTAAGACTTATAATAGTCATCCGATTAAATATATCTTGAAAATCATTCAAGTGTTCTGTAACCGATTATTCATCCTTTTACTATAAAGTTGTAAGCTTTTTAACAAACATAACTTTATTCATACCTATTTTCTTCTCATACAATGCTGTCAATTATTCCAAAATAGTGTGGGTATCTATCTTTTGCGTTACATGATGGAACACAATGATATCAACTCATTTTTTTATTGTAGCTAGTGTCTTTCTACCTAACTTCTTTTAGCTTTCAACTTTCATATATGCTAATTTAGCTGAATCACCTAATACTAGCTCATACAAATCTTTGCAGTATAAATGTTCATCCATTATAGGTTTTCAAATTGAATAATTTGATGCTGTCAATTTTATCATAGAACTTATATCACCATCTATGATCTCAAATAGAATTTACTTTTATCTTGGATTACTTCTGTATCGATGTCTAAAAAATAACCCTCATTCTAATACCATTTATTAGGCTTGCAACAATAAACACAATAATGTAGAAGCAATATATCACAATAAACCCACAGCAATAAATAACAATCAATAATCCAAAATGCAAAAAAAATAAAACACATCAAGATTTATGTGAAAAGCCCTCCAATGAAAGGAAAAAAATATAGACCACTAAAAAAATATTCACTATCAAATAATGGTTATACAAAGTTCTCCTTCAATTAAAACTAAAGCTAATCAACAACTAAAGAGATAATTGAAGAAATATCACCAAATAGGTGACTCAACAAATACATCATGAATTTGTTTCTAGATAACTTCAAATCAAATTTCTATCATTCAAAATGTAGAACTTTGAATCATAAATCTATTGATAAAATTTCAACTCAATCGATCCACGGATCGACTTTCGTTTAACTAACTCTCTCTTCTCATTTTTCTCTCTATCTTTCTGACTTTTCTTGTTGCTTTTCGGCTTATGGTGCCACACTCTAATTGCCAAAGACAACCCCCCTTTCTTTTAATATCTAAGGCTCAATTAAAAGACTAAGGCCTATGGTCTTTAATTGATCAAATAACACATGGGATGGACCCCACATTCCTAACAAGAAGCACATTTGAAGAATTCAATAAGAATCCGATGTTTGGTTTTTCTAGGTGGTGTCGATTCCAATTCTATGACACCTATTTTGGATGGGGAAAGCCATTCTGGTTTGGAACTACTTTTAGATTAAGGAGGGCTACCATTTTCCTGGACACCAGGGATGGTAAGGGAATAGAAGCGTGGATAACACTTACCCAGGAAGAAATGGCCAAACTTGAGCGGGACCTGGCATCCTTGCTTATGCTTCTTTCAATCTAAGCATATGAAAATTCGGCAGTACTAATCAAATGTAATTACATGGAAAAGAATAAAATTTCTACAATAAACTTCTATCTGTTAAATTTTGTCAAAGTAACTTCAGTCAGTCATTTGCATATTTTGAAGTTTTAGTCGTTTACAGTGCATTTTGATTAAATTTCAATTATGATTAATTAGTAATTTGTCCCCTGAACTATAACACTTCTATTGATTTGAATTAGGATTAAAGGGTTGATTATTGCTGCTACAGCTACTACCTTGCGATCCACTTGAAAAGTTACCTGAACCAAGTGCTCAGCTAATCCAAGCTGTTCAGGTCAATTACTTTGATTGTGGTGGAATGGAAATTTGTGCTTGTACAAGGCATGTGGTTGCTGGTTCATCAACCACTAGTTGCCAGCTTTGTTAAAAGCGGGGCTGAAGTCGCTAATGGCATCGATTCAGTACTAGACGCTGTAATTTATGATTGCACCAATCTCTTCCCCCACAAGATTTATCAGGCTTATGGAAGACAATTGAAAAAAAAAAGCCAAACGTTCTAGCGGAAGTTGTAACGAAAAGGGTCCTTTTTGATGGCTGTAAGTTAGATGCTTTAAGAAATGAATTTGGCAATGGACTGTGCCTGTATCGTTCAACTAGTGTTGAGGCTGTGTCCTCGCTCATTTGGAACGCTACATATAATAAATGGTGACGAAATAGTTCCCAAGCATGTGGCAACAACTTCTGTGACTCTGGGAAACAGAATGAATTCGCCATTCTCACAACTGTGTATACCAGTACAGAAAACATCTACTGTGTAGCATGGCTAATTCAGTCATGGCAGATACCACGATCAACGATAAATATGTTAGGCAGTCATATGGAAATGGTGCACACTTGAATGCCATGAAAAACATGGCTGCAGAGCTTGGAAATTAAGAATTCAAAAGCAGCGGTATTTAACTTCAGTAGTTGCAGCAGATTTCCGTTTCATGAAACTCATTTTGGATGGGGAAAGCCTGTTTAGTTTGGAAATTGGAAATGCTCTGAAGCTTAAAAAGATTGCCATTTTCTTAAATAGTAGCGATGGTAAGGCATTGAATCATGGATAGGATTAACAAAGGAAGAAATGACAAAGATCGAGCAAGACCATGGAATTCCTATAACAAATTACCCAAGTTTGTAAAAAGTGGATAACAATGGGAATCCATGATTTTGATAGTATGTGTAGACACCATTTTATTTATTTATTTATTTATTATTTTTTTCTTTTTCTCCTTTCCTTTTTTTTTTCTTTCTTTTTTTGATAGCCGCCTACAACTGCACTGTCAGCAGCCCTGACAGCCACCGGTAGCTATTCTGACAACCGGTGGCCACCCTAATACTAAGCCATCAGGTCTTATTTTTGCTCTATAAATAGAGCAATGAAATTGGTGATAAATAAAGGGGAAAGAAAAGCCCATAAACCCTAAATAAAAAAAAAAAAAAAGAGAGGAGACCTTGCAAAAAAAAAGTTTTCAGAATAAAAAAAATTTTCTTTCTACCAAAAAAAAAAACTTTGTTAAAAAACAAACCTAAAAAAATACAACTCCTGGTAACGAGGATCTCAACGTCAAAAATACAAAAAAAAAATTTTTCATTTTGACCAAAATTTTGGGCCTTGATCTATGCCGTTCGAGGTCGTTTCTCGTAAAATGGAGCGTAAATTTGAGTTCAAGGGGTCGAAAATAATTTTTTTGATATTTTTTAAGAATTTTTTCGACATATTCGACAATGACTAATGGTGACGACCGACGGCAATAGAACCCACCGAAAACTGGGGAAGGTGAGAGAAAAAGAATTTTAGGAGAGAGAAGAGAGAAGAAAAAAGAAGAAAAAATGAAAGAGATGTGTTTTGGGGGCTATTTATAGTGAAATCAAAACGATGTCGTTTTGATTAAAATGTGACCAAGCCACCAAATCGAGCCAAGAACTAAGCTGAGCCGAATATCTAAGCCAAACCGATCAAGTCGTTGATTGTATGTCCAAGCCGTTTAAGCTGTTTTTTAATTTTGATCGCGTTGACTAGGGGCATTTTAAGTATTTTATCATAACTTTTTATTTCTCTTATCTTTTCTACTCAATTTTTTTATATATTTCTATTATTTAATTTATGATTTTTCTATTATTTTTATTTTATTTTTGTATAAATTTTTCATATAAAATAAAATAAATGGTAGAAAATATAAAATAGTTTTAATTTAATTAATTTAAAATAAGTACTAAACATAAACTTATCAAAATTTTAATGAACAAGAATAAAGAAAAATATACAACAATTGATAAAAATTAATTAATAAAAAATAATAATTTAAAATATAAAAAAAAAAATTTATCCGACGATGAGATTTAAAGGTATTCCGAATAGCGATACCTACGAAATCTCTAGGTGATAAGATTTTTTTTAAATACTATCAGTGTATTGGAGTATTTATAAAAAGTTTTTAATGCAATAAAATTTTTTCTTTTTTATTAATAATAGATAAAATTAACAAATTTATAAAAAAAGACTAAAATAAAGAGATAAAAATGAAAAAAAAAAAGAAATTTTATCTAATGATGGGATTTTAAAACTATTCCGAATAGCAATGCTTTACAAAATCCCTAGATAAGAATATTTTTTTAAAATATTACCAGTGTATTAAAATATTTATAAAAAAAACTTCAATAAAATAAATTTTCTTTTTTTTCTTCAAAAATTTAACTAAAAAGGAAATCAATTAATAAATTTTCTAAACAAAAAATAAAATGTTTGTATTAATGTTACATGCACTGCATTGTTCTTTTGTGAAAAATAAATTTGAGCATCTGAAGATGAGATTTTAAGATATTTCAATAAGCAATGCCTAAGAAATTTTTATGTGAGAAAAAGTTATTCTAATGTTACCAACGTACTGAAACATTTTAAGAATTATTTTAATAAAAAAGTTTTAATTTATTTTTTTCGAATAATATTTGAATATAAAAATCAATTCCCAATAAATGAAAAAATCAAGAAAATTATTTTTCAAACACCGAAAATAAGACTATTTTTTATCAAAATCAACGGATAACACATAATTAATTGGTACCGTTTTAAATGGGCATTGTGGGAATGCTAATTCTTCTCCACACGTAATCGACTTCCGAACCTAGATTGTTGTGCATACCTTAAAATTATCCTTTTAATAAATTTTAATTAATTTTTAAGATTTCATTAAGATGATATATTTTAATAAGTGACCAATCACACCTAACAAAAAAAGATTGATGACGACTCCATTTTTCGTTCTTTTCATTTCGTTTTTAAATTCGTCGGACGGATACAAAACCGTTACAACAGTATGATTTCAAGTTTCCAACTCAATATTGCAGCCGACGAATAGCCAAAAATTCAGATCGACTGGCTTTGCTTTTTGTCAACCATGATATTCAATATTGCAGGGAAAATTAAGCAATTTACCAAGCAAAAAGAAGGGCAATTATTTGCGATGTGCAAAATATACTCCCTTTTGCAAGCATCTGAGTTTCCATGCAGCCGATAGCTGCTTGCAGAAGGGAATAACTTTGTTCTCCCTCCCTACTTTGGAAATAATAATAAAAATTAAAATAGGCAAGTTGGAAATTGAGCCACTTCAATTATGAAAGTAAAATAGAAAAGAGGAGTAATTAAGGTTGTGGACTTCAAAATTAGCTTGTCTACTATTGCTGAGGCTCAAAGCCAAATTCACTTGATCATTGTTGTAGTGGAAAAGAATTTCCTTTGCATTAGTGTTGGGAAAACTGACCTCAGTAAGAAAATTTTGTTTGATTTATCCGAAATTAAGCGAATTTTAGCGAGTCCATAACTTGAATTCGAAATAACTCAAATCCAAATATTCTTTAAAATAAAATAAAAGACCCTTTTAATTAAGAAAATTTAAATAGTACTATAATACATAAATTTGGAACTGGATAATACAATGCAAGGAAATAGAGGAGAGGTAAGAAATACTAATATAATAATGTAGAGATTCGAGGCTAATGAACATGACAGAAAAGATAGAGAAAGAGATAAGCAAGAGTCCGAGAGGAAGGTGGAAATTCACATAGTGATCAATATGAAGGAGTGCAGGCAATGCAAGCAAGCAAGAGAATGGCAGAGGAAGCACCATCTTCTTCAAGGTTGGAACTGCTCCTCTTGAACTTCGAATTTTTCCCTTTGTTGCATTGTATGATCTGTTTCTGCTGATGGTTTTGCTGGTTTTGATGGCAGTGATCCCTTCCCTTGTGATTCTGTTGCCTCTTCATTGCTTCTTCCACTTTAGAAACCATGATTTACTCTAATTTTATCCTTCAGGAAAACCCTCAGAGCAAAGTGACAATTGAGAGAGAAAATAATTCAAGACGATTAAGCTTTGTGCATGGGGGAAGAGCTACATCGACCTTCTCAATTTATAGCACAAAGTTGTACCAAAATGCCCTTGGTTTCTATTCATTATCCCAATTCACATGCATTTTGCTCCTCAAAAACACCTAGTCCCCACTCTATGATCAGTTTTCAAGAATTAAATAATTTCCATGATCTGAAATATGATATAATACATAAATACAGATGAAATGGTTGGGTGATGCATGGAAATCTTTGCTTCAAACTTTGAATAATTTGTTTTTTGAAGTATGGCCCTCCCTCCCCATTTTAAATGAATTGCTGGATGTTACATTGTTGGAGAGTTGAGGTCCTACATGTTTCACCTCACAGCCTTTAGTTTAACTTTCATCTGAAAGATTTATCAATTAATGCTAGATTCTGGACATAACCCTAATTAGAATTAATAACCCTTTCAACAAAGATTTTGTGTTTTCTTTTAAGAGAGATAAAGCCAAGATATCGGAAAGATCATTTGTACCTTAATTTGATCGTCAAATTTGACAATCGTTCTTAATAAATACATGCGTATGTATAAAACACACAAATAATTATAAATTCAACAAATTTGATTTCAAATTTTAATCTGTAATCGTTTTCTCTATCTTTAAATTACGTCATTTCTTTTGTAAAAAAAAATTTACAGATAATTACGGAACTCAATCATATGTACGTTAAACATCATCCTTAACACATTAAACCAATCGTCAAGAAATTTTACATGAAACTATTGATCTTTAAGGAAATTACATTTCTGTAACTTCTTTGCACAAAAAAATTTCTCCACATGCAAAAACAAGCCTTATCTACAAAATATCTCAAGTTCAGCTAATACTAAGCACAAATATATTAGACAATTTGTCAATCCAGCTGGAAGTTCTGGCAAAACTGCGCATTGGATTCTTCTTCAAACGGCCAATCATATACAGAATCCAGGAGTAATAATTTTCTTAGCTAGCTGGTGTTACATTAAACAATTGTACCTAATAAACTAATCTCATAGCAGTTAGCATATGCACAAAAATAAAATATATACCTGAAAAACTAACCATTAATAAGGGACGGATTCAGGGTGAGATCAATAACAATAGCAATGAAATTATTTTGAGTCTTTCAATGATTGGATATGGAATGCTTGAAGAGAGAAATATAATCAGATACAATTATGGAGATAAAAATTTTAAACAAAATTAATTTTGTTGAGCTTCGAGTTGGGAGGTAAAATTCTGAAATCACAAGAGAAAAAAAGAAAATAGTTAAGAGTAAAAGCAGAAAGTGTTTTATGTATTTGAGAGGAAAATAGAGAGAAAAAAAATTAAGCTGATTAGATAATAACTTAATTGCTTTATTTATATATGGAATGCGAAGGATTTGCGGAGTAAACTGGTGACGTGATTGAGTTGATATAATACTGTACATATTAGATCAACTTGATATATTAAGTCGATCCAAAAGTTAAAAATATTATTGATTGTTTGTTGATAATCTTTAATTAAAAAAAAAATCATTTTACTGAACCCAAAAATACCTTTAACAAAAATAAATTGGAATAAAAGACAGATTGAAGAGATGAAGAAACCATTAATTACAGAGAGAAATATTTTCGATGGATGAGGTTGGGGCGAGCAGTCATTGTCGTGACTGTAAAGTGGAGTTTCTTCATGTGCAGACCATGTGGGCATGTGTTCATGTTTCCACCCTCTTGAGCCTGACCCGCTTCTACCGGCCCCAGAGCCTAAGGTCGTCCAAAAACATTCGTCATAAGTCTTTTCCTTCATCTTATGACATCTTCCTTTTTCATTTTCATTTACGTTTCTCTTGTCCCACTAATTATTGCCTATTTTTTTACATACATATAACATCTATACATACTTCAATTCAAGACACTGATTTAATGGTTAAATTGGGAAGTAACATTAGATTTGGAAAACGAAAACACTTTTTTTTTTCTGATTCAAATGCATTTAGAAGTACGACATAAAAATTTCTACGTTGTTGGAGATGAAAAAAATAACATTGGAGCTGTATGAATCCAGTAATAAATGATATTTTAATACATTGAGAATCTCTTTTCATCGCATTTCCAAATGTAATCTTAAGTAGATTAAATATTTTATTTATCTTAATTGGAATTTAATATGAAGTTTAAAATGCAATAATTATATCCATTAATATTTAGTCTCATTAATTTTTAATAATGTATGTATTAATTTTCACCTCGAATTTCTTTCAATCATCAATTTTCAATTTATAATTACAAAATCAATATCTCAATTCTATGCTAGTTCCTTGTCATGAGAAGTGATAACGATTTGAATCAAATTAAATTCGATTCAATTTTTTCAAATAATGTATAGTGTTATAAATTTTTAAAATCTTATCTTAATTCGAATTGATTTTTTTCTTGAAACTGATCCGATTCAAATTGAATTTTATTGATTTAGTTTGATTCGATTTATTAGTTTTTAAATTTTTTATTTTGTATATTTTATTTTAATAGGATTTTTAATAAAATTATATATAAAATAATTATTTTATTTTATAAGAATTTAAAATATATATAAAAACTAATAAAAGTATATAATTCGATTTTTTTTAGTTTTTTACATTTCAATCCAAAATTTGATCTGAATTTAATATATATATTTAATATTTAAATTTGATCTAAATCAAATAAAATAAAACCAATCCAAATTAAACCAAAGATTAGGATTTTCAATCAAATTTTTTGGTTTTCTAAACTTTTTTTTCTCACCTCTGCTTGCCACTTGGTAGCTGGAAGACTAGATTTTCTATGTCCAAATGCATGCACGAGTTTTCCTCAGAACAAGTGAGTAGAATTAAAACAAGTGAGTAGAATTAAGATGCACCAAGCACAAGGAGGAAAGGTTGTGGGGTGCACGGCAACCCGTTTGAGTTCCAAGGGATACGAATGAGCCAAGAAATGGGATGAATTCAACGTGGGTTTTTATCAATTATCATTTATCAATGAAGAACAAAGGGGGGTCAAGCTCTGGAACTGAGTTTTTGTTGTGATCGAAAGAGACAAGGAAGTCGAGGGGTGGGGGTCATGAGATGAGCCCATAATTCTAAAATCGTTGAAGGGGCCATGGTTATAGAAAATGGGATGTTGGCTATTCTCATGACAAGCCATTTTGGTCGGTTTGACCTCTCCCAAGAGATTTCCATAGAGAACTCCATTGACTCCATATTATTTGTTTGAATTTGAAGCAACTAAAGTCTCTATCTGAAAACATATCTCCTCGTATTCGCGTCTTTTATTTATATTGTAATCGTATCGTATTATCATATCATATTTTAAATTATTAAATTTAATTTTATGTCTTTTTTTTATGATTTTCATATTATATATCATTATTTTATGTTTAAAATTATCAAATCTAATTCAAAGCTTATTTTCTTTCTTTTTGTTGATAGAAAATGCAAATACATGACTTGATGATTATTACAGGGTGGATCATTGTCTTCCTACATACCTAGGACTACCAAATACGTTAAATTACATTAGTTAGCGCCATCCTGGCTTTATTATTGGCCATGTATGATTATCTAAAATAAATTTGATTTTGATCAACTCAATCAACAACTGGATTAAATTCTACACCTAAGCACTGGTATTTGAATAGTACTGTTATAGGTTGAACTGGCTGTAAAATGAGAGCAAAGGGAAGCTAGCTAGGTTGTCAATTGTCATCTTTGTAACTATTTTGATTTTTTTTTTTTTTCGTCTTAATTTTTTATATTTAAAATTATCAAAAATTAAACTCTAATTATTAAAATTAAGAATCTAACAATTTTTTTAATAGATTGTTGTAAGAAGAGAGATGCAAAATCAGTCACTTGCCGATCAAGTGAAACGTTATTTTTTCCTTTTTTATATTAGAGAACTCATTTCTTGAACATTAAATTTAAAGTTCTAAAAAAAATTCAATAAAGAAAGAGGTTAAAAATGTAAATGATATATCAATATTTACAAATTATTCAAGTTCGATTCGAATAAAACTTGAATTCAGTTCGGTTATTATCGAGTCGAATTTGAATAATTTGATTTATTAAATGCATCGAGTTTGAGTATCCTAATATCTTACTCAAGTAATTTACGAGCCTAATCAAATTTTTAAATTTTAATATATTTTTATTATTTTAATTAAAAAATTACTAATTTATCCTTATATATATTAATTTAAGCTCGAACTTGAATTCAAATATATAATTAAGCTTGAATTCAAATATGGTAATCAAGTTCATTTTTATTAATTTAGTTTAATCGAATAAATTTAAATAATTAGATTTTTATCTCAAATTGAGTTTAAATTTAAAAATTAAGATTTGATTAAGCTCAAGTCAAAATTTTAATAATAAATTTTGAGTCGAGCTCAAATTTAAATTTTTTACTGTACCAATCCGACTTGACTCAATTAGAGAGAGAAATTAATGGGAAATCAGGCCTTGACTTTTGAGAGTAATGACCTAAGCAATTGATCCACTGTGAAAAGGCCCCAAACTCCAGCACGTAGACGCCCAAAATTTGCTCTAATGGACCACCAACGTTATTGACTAAAGCCCAATGAAAAAATACATTGAGTTTGAGTCGGGACTAGATTAGCAGAGTCGATAAGGCCCAGAGTCAGTTGCCTTCCAATTATCTTTGCTCCTTGGCTTTTCCTGGTTTCTATTTTGACGATATACGATTCGTATGTTATGAAATATTAAAATTTAAAATATTTATATTATATTTTATATAAAAATATAAAACATATTTTTTGATTTTATTAAACATATATAATTATTGTTAAAATTTTAAATAATATCATTTTTATATTTTATATTCGTATTATATTTATATTATGTTATTATATTATATTTTAAATTATCAAATATATTATTTTTTATGCATTAACTTTTGGACATAGAAGAGTAGGGATGTCAACGGGTCGGGACGGAACGGAACGGGTTTTTGCTCGTCTCGAATTTGATCCGATTTTAAACATGTAAAATTTGAA